GTGGTTTTCAGGGTTCAGACCTTTCACCACTTCAGGACCATTCAGGATCTTCAAACTGCCCAAAACTCTCACTTCATAATTTTCATTCTTGAATTTTCAGCTACCCGATAACCGCTTGTGCATGAGGATTGCTCAGAACTTGAATTAAGGGTTCCTTTGCCTACCCGAACTCAACTTGTGAGTTGTTTGAAACATCAAGATTGTCAATTTTCATATGCAAGGATTAAAAATGGATCATTTTTTTTTAGTATATTCGAGATGTTCAAAAATTATTAGCTTATGATTTGATGTAATGGGAAACGGATAAGAATTTGAGACTATCAACTTCACTCACATGTCGTTTGATAAGCATGATAAATTGATATTCCTATTGAGATAATATCGTTGCTGCACATCGTTTTGTTATTCGATTATGCAAACTATTGAACTTTTTTTGTTCTATGTATTATTACTCCAAAAAAACAATTGAGAATTTATTATTTTATTTACTTGAACAGTAATTTGACTTCGTGGTTGTAATAGAACAACCACAAATAACGATATTCCCATACCTGGAAGGCTGGAATATAGTAAACTAATGAGAAAAAAACAAAAGAAATGCGATCAATATTGTATCATGATTTAAAATGCAGCATTAAAAATGAAATAAGAAGGACGTTGTCAATGTTGCCAACATGTATGGCGATATGAACAATTGCTTATAAAGTTTGGTATTACATTCGTACATTCATACATGGCCACATAACGTATAATACATATATTTAAATTTTAAACATTTCATTTTCGGGAGGGTTGGGGTCAGTAGGTTGTGCATGATATACAACACAACATGATCTAGAAAATAATAAGATCGTCCATAAAACATATAGTAACTGCAACTTTGCACAATTTCAGGTACTAAGAGTAAAACATTAACATAAAAGTCACGTCTTTAAACCTTATAATGAAAGCATGAAATCCACTAGTTATGCCACTCAACTTGATTTAAAAAAAAAAAAAAAAAAAAATCTATCTTTTTACGAAATTGCAGCTTTTCGCTCATTGGAATTAAAACTCTGCGAGTTGGTCACCCATCACACGGCTCTGCAACTGAAGTTGCCTTATTATTATATAAATAAAATTAATAAATCATCCAGAGATACCTTCGTGCCCGTATTAAACTCATTCTGATCTGCGCGTTTTATTTCTGATTTATAAGTTAACCGAGAATGAATTGAGTCAATTCTCGTTTATGAATCATAGTAATTGCAAAAGTCCTTGCCCTGGTGGACCTTCAGCATTTCTGGCGATAGACACATACTTAAGTAGTTGGCGTTCAAACTTTTCAGTAAATATTTGTTACGATTGATAATTATATAATAAGAAAAAAAAAATAGTAATATATACATGTGAATTATGATTGCTTTATTCATCTAAATTCAAGATCAGAGTTCCTCTGCACACTGGAACTCAACTAAAAAACTGCTACGTGCACTGGAACAACATCTAAGGGCTTTTGATTTCTACCTGTCTGTCGCATACGACATCCTCTTCTGCTGATGAAATCATTATTGTGTTTTGCATATTTATGATGACATTACACCAAACTTAACTTCTTCTTTTTTATTTGGACCATTTCTTGATTTATGTATGTCGTCCAAGTACAGGGGCCATGCTAATCTTCAATGTATCATTCCAATTTGAACAGATGTCTCGAAGGATATCACCTGACTTAACTTTATTTTTTTTCATAGCATTTTTCCCTTCTGTTGTAAATCTCGAAACGTTTTGAAAACGATAAAATATGTGTAGGTAGAGAACTCCATGACTATTTCTTTTCCCTCGTCTTTTTACTTCAGTTGTAAATCTCAGAAGGGTTTGACAACGATAAAAAATGTGTTCTTCATTGCAGGAGGTAGACAACTGCATGGGCTGAGATGGCCCCGAGCTCGCGGATTGGGGGGTAGAGGTGTGTGGGTGGAGGTGCGGGGGTGAGGGTGTAGGGGAGGAGGTGGGGTGCAGGCCGCAGAAGTGGGTTTGGGGGGCAGGTGCAAGTCCTTGGGGAATTTGGGTGTTTTGGGAGGAGGGGTTAGGGGCCAGGGGCAGGGTTGAGTGCAGGATGTAATTTTTTGGGAGGTGGAAGAAGGGTTGGGGGTGTGGGCTTGTGGGTAGGAGGTGCATGGGTGGGGGTGGGGATTGCCGAGGTGGGGGTGCGGGCGTGGAGGTGCAGGATGAGGGTGGGACCTGCCCAACATGCAGGGAAATGGGCTGTGACAAGGATGGGGCAATTTTTCCTGCCCCAACCTGAAGGCCCACCAAAAGAGAAAAACAGTTCTGTGCATTACCAAACACGGGGAGTGCAAAGAACCACAAAACAAAAAAAAAAACTGATTTTTCCCCAACCCCGGGTCCTTCCACCCCCAGACCCCATCCCAGTGCTGGGGTGCGGGGTTTGACACCAAAACCCTGGCATTGGCCCCGGGGATCCTGAATGACAACACTGAGTCTTTCCATGATGAAACAGTGTTGGCATCACTTTGAGAGGTACCCACTCCTCCACAAAACCATCTCTCACGGAGGAAGGAAGTTGGTAAGAAGGAACAATGTTAACCCAGCTTTGCTAGTGGTTACAGGGCATTAGAATGTCTCACCACTGCATTGTCCTGGCCGCTGATTTAACAAATCTCTGGCCAAATAGGCAATAGCCTATAGGTATGGCCCTCCTCCACAAGACCATCTCTCACTGAGGAAGGAAGTTGGTAGGAAGGAAATTTTCGACAGAGAGAGGATGGGTAGACTACACTCAGTGCACTACAAAAAACACAATGTTAACCCAGCTTTGCTAATGGTTCCACGGCATAAGACCATCTCGCCACTGCATCGTCCTTGCCTCCGATGTAACAAACCTGTGGCCAGAAAGGCAATAGGTATGGCCGTAGACTAGTAGTTTGCTGATGTGATGACACTGTGGCACAACATTCTGATAGCTGTGGATGCGCACGCGAACAGATCACTATCAGATCCAAATGCCTACGTCAGTGGGGTTTAATGGACTGAGAAGTGCGTGAACTTTGTCCACTCTCAAGAACAGACATCAGCCTCTTCCCCCCGTTGGTGCTGTGTTTGCTCTAGCTTAGCATGAACGTAGCCCCTTTCTGAACTTAGATTCATGCATTTCTCAGTGTTAGCCAAAGCCGAGGATGGTCCTACCGTGTAGTGGTAGTCTGAGCCTGGCTATAGGCCGAGCCTATTTCGGCTTTGTGTCTGTTCGGCCTGTGGGACCGCACAGTGGGCCTGATCTCACAGGCCGTGTGGTTGTCTAGTCTGGTACCGGTGTTGGTGCCAGTCCAGTCCAGTCAGTCCTCTGGATACCAGCTGCAGACTGTTTCATTTTTCATTCTACCTTGCGAGTGTTGAAGCATCTCAGGTGCAGTGTGAGTGTCTGGTGTGTGATGTCTCCTGTCACCTCCATGCTTAACAGCCTTCCTGCTCCACCACCAGCTTCCACCATCACTTCCTTTTCCTTCTCTTTCTTTCGCCCAATCCGCCATCTCGGCAAGTCCCAGTTCATAAGGTTAGGATAAACCGTTGATATCAGATTGTCCTTGTTAGACACTTAGTGCAAAGCTGAAAGTGCAACACTAAGCTCAGCACGGACATAGCCAAAGCGGAGCCTGGTCCTAAGGCTTCAGGCTGCACTGGTGATATGTCTGTGCTGAGTACTCAGCTTGAGTTTGAGAACGCAAGACTACCGTCTTCACCCGAATAGAACGCCCGGTCATTATAGCTGCATTTGGTCCAATTTTCAGTCCAGATGCAGCTGTAATGACCGGGCGTTCTATTCGGGATGAACACGGTAGCATTTTGCAGCTACATTGATGCCTTTCTAACTACAGACATAGCCAACGTCTGAAACCTGGTCCCACGGCTCCGTCAGGCTGAACTGGTGAGTTTTCTAGTCCGATCAGGTTGTGTTCTACCGCATGCCCTCGATCCCACGACCTGAATCTTGAACCCCCCCTCGCACGGGGGAAACATGCACACGCATGTGTGACAATCTGATCTGCATGTGTGACAATCTGATCTGCATGTGTGACAATCTGATCTGAATCTTCACCCTCTCGTCTTCCTTTCCTAAGGCGCAATTCACGGCTCACCGGTCCACGGAGGGACCACTGGTCAATCTCTCTCTCTCTCTCTCTCTGTCAACGGAGGCCGTCGATGAAACAGTGTAATCGAGATCTTGACCGAGACTTCGACGACCCTCGAGCAAGAGCGGATTTTAATCGAGCGATTGGAAGTGCGAGCCTCTTGCCTTCCCCCTTCGCGCAGACGTCTTGCTGTTCGGAAGTATGTCAAGTCCCCGTATCTGCAGAAGGATGCATCAATGATCATTAGATGATCAATCATATCATCGTCGAAGCAAACGACCAACCAATCAATCTCTGACCAATTGATGGATCATCGTGTCGAGGACTCCATCGATCTATCCATCCCCCAATCGCTCGATCAATCAATCAATCAACCAAATTTAATCCACCAATCAATCCATTCATCCATCCATCAATCAATCAATTGCCCACTCTATCAACCTGTCCATCCCTCAATCAATCAATCCATCGATCAACCAATTACCCGCTCCATGAAGCTATCCATCCCTCAATCAATCAATCAACAACGTGATCCATCACCCAGCCAATCCATCAAATCGACATCTTGCAGACTGCAAGTAACTGTCTGCTGTACGAAGTTGCTGCATCAGAGTGATTGTTCCTCTCTCTCTCTCTCTCTCTCTCTCTCTCCCCACCGAGACACGACAAGAGATGACAGGACAACACACTTTCGTCTAAGCCAGACTCAACGAACAACCCCATCCTGTCACGCGATCAACCAATCAATCAATCAATCAATCAATCAATCAATCCATCCGTACATCAGAATGCGGTCAATCAATGGATGAATTGATCAAGGGACCCCATCGATTAATCAACCAACAATAATTGGTTGCTCAAGGTGCAGGACGCTTCAAGGATGCTTGAAGAGGCCAATGTTAGGTCCAAAATGTCAGGCAGTGGTTATTTGAGCAAAACCGCAATCGGTTGGCGTCTTAAGATACTCCTCCCATGTGAGAGGCTCTCCTTTGACGGAGGACGACGACGATGTCCTATCATGTTGCGTGGCGGCGACGAACGCCTGGAGGAGATCGTCTCTCCTGAAGGGCTGGAACCTCCCCTTATTGCCACGTGGATGACCAGAATCAAGTCCTACACCAGATAAGGGAGGGGCCCTGCAAACCCGCACTCTTTTGGGCACGTTCTCTGCTATTCTCTGCACAAGATCGCCCTCCAAATCGAACGTGTGATGCGGGTGCGCTCGCAGCTCCATGGAGTCTATGTACCTTGTGAAATAATGGTACGGCCAGGACTGCCTGTCCTGCTTCCGACTCGGTTCTGAGGAAATGCCGTACACTGACACGTGTTTACAGACGCGAAGAAGCACGTATACTCCTAAGAAACCGCTGCTCGGCACCATCCCCCCCGTATAGTTCCTCAGTCCCAACATGTTCATGCCGCTTCTGAAGAAAGACAGCAGTTGTCTGGCTTCGCCGACCACTTTGGACAGCAGCAAACTGACATGCATGTCGGGCCTCTCTCTCCGCACAACTCTTGCTAGCCGTTCGAACTGCTCCACCCCTACTCTGCTGGCAATGATCGTAGTGTTGAAGGCTTCCACCGGCAGCAGCAGCTCCTTGCCGTACGATGTGGAGATGTACAGCGACACCCACTTCTTGTTCAGCAACCTGTAGGTGGTCTTCTTGCCCACGTGGCGGTAATACCTGCGAGTTGGCGCTTGATTGACTCGCATCACCACGTCGTGCCGATCAATCGCCTTGCCGTACTCCGACGCGAGCAGCATGCCGGAGTTCCCCACAAACGCGCAGGTATTGAAGGTGTCTTCCTCCAAGTCCTTGCGGGGCAGCAAGTCAGGGGAGCTCACCGGCTTATTTAGCTTGACGTCAAACATATTTTCTTGCGTCAGAACGAAGTGTGTCTCTTTCCTCAGGCTCCGGTTATGGAGCATCTGCACAACGCCCCGAATCAACGTGTAGTAATCCTTCACCCCATCATCCGGCCATCTAATCTCCTTAGGAACGTCCTCCTCCTCGACTTCACCTTCCAGAGCAGCAGCAGTAGCAGCAGCAGCTGAATGAACAGAGAGATCGTCTCCCGAAACACCTCCTTCACGCCCCTCCCCATCTGCAATGATCCTACTCCCTCTCTGGTCTCTACCACTTTCTTCCCGGGACCCGCTCTCTTCTCCTCCCGTCGAGCGCAAGTAGCGCTTTTCTTCGTCGATCACATCACCCTGGCCATCCGTGTGATCGTCGCCATAGGCACGGCCTTCTTCGGCAGACCAACCAGCCGCAGTGTCGTCCCCTTCTCTATCCCTCCTCCCCAACCTGCTCTCTGAGCTTCGCCCATCTGCTTGAACTTCAACACCCCGTCCTCCAGATTCCGACACTGAACTACTCGTCGTCGTCGTGAGCTCTGCAGTCTGTCCCTTCTGATGGTCGCTTAGATCACCAGAGAGTGATCTCTGCAGTTCTCCTCTCCATAGTGGTGATGCAGAGAAGAAAGACGATGACGACGAGGACAAGGAGGACGAAGCGAAACTCGCGCGTCTCACGTCCGGCAGCACATCGAATCTCATTGCAGCAGCATCAGAGTCGAACGTTGACCATGGGGGTCCTCCTCCTCCTTCCCCCGCTCGTGCCCACACGGTTGCGACCCTTAGTGTGAGGCCCCAATACCCGAGCATCACTACTGTGGCTACCAAATAGAAGAATACACGCATGCGTGCCAGCTTTCCCCGAATAGAACGCACGGGCATTATTATTCACACAGTTATAATCTCACAGGGAACCTGCGTCCTAGCTATGCAGTCAGGCACGCGCTCTACTCGTGAGGGCATACTCACCCCACGACTTCGCTGAACCCCCTTGACGGCAACGGCTAGTAGAGAGCTTCCAAGCTTCCAGTGTGAGGATACGTAATTCGTTGAGGTATCGCTCTGTTCGGGAAGAAGGGGCCGGAAGTCCTGGGCGCAGTTCGACGGCAACATGGATGAACGCCCAAGGCGAACACCTGATGACTCGCTGAGATGGCGACTACGGTGTGTGTCGGGCACCTGGCCTCTACGACAACCTGGACTTTTTTTTTTTCTCTTTTTTCTTCTTTTTTCCCCCAAAACAATGGGCCCAGTGCCCAAGGCTTATATAATCAAAGCGAACCGAGGCAACCTGGACTTTATAAGGGGGCAAAAAAATAAAAGGTTCCAAATCAGAAAGTGCTGATTGGCTGGGTTAGGTAGGGCGGTAGGACCCCATCGGCCGGGTTAGGTAGGGCAGTAAAGTCAGACAAGGATCAGGCCCCACTGACGGTGTTAGGTATATCGGTGAAGTCAGACGAGAACCAGGCCGCACAGGCCGGGTTTGGCAGGGTGGTAAAGACCAGGCAGGCCCCACTGACCAGGTTTGGTAGGGCAGTAAAGTCAGACAAGGACCAGGCCCCACTGACCAGGGCGGTAGGACCAGGCCCCATCGGTCGGGTTAGGTAGAGCAGTAAAGTCAGACAAGGACCAGGCCTCGGGGTTAGGTAGGGCAGTAAAGTCCGACAAGCATCAGGCCCCACTGGCCGGATTTGGTAAGGGGGTAAAGTCAGACAAGGACCAGGCCCAATTGGCCGGGTTGATAGGGCAGTAAAGTCAGACAAGGACCCAGGGCCCACTGGCTGGGTTAGGTAGGGCGGTAGAGCCAGACAAGGACATGCACCACTGGCCGGGTTATGTGACCAATTGCCCCTTTCGTATTCCAAGGTGATAGCAGATGAGATCCATATTCGGAGAATTCTTCTTTGGTTGCGGCTGTAACCTCAGTCGGAGATCTGTTATCTAATACATAGCCATGATTATTCAAGAAGAGAGATTCTATAGCATTGGCATAGACAAATCTGCAGCAAACATATGTGTGGCCTGGGTTACGATCAATCGGCATTGCCACAAGGTCCTTCAACTTATTCAACCAGTCATTGGCTTCCTGGGAAAGGGACACGAATGGAACCGAGGAGGGCGAAGCGGAAGGGAGAGATGGACGGTGGAGACATTGGAGAATAGAGTTGTGTGGTGGGTGGAAATTAGAAGGATTTGGAAGAAAGAAGAGTGTGGTCTCAATAGCACCCAGGATATGACGAGTAGAGGAGGGGAAAGATGGTTGACATATATTTTCAGAATTGGAGAGCTCGGTGGGGAGATCCGAGATTTCTGAAAACTGAAAGGAGATATGACCTTCAGTATTATTGGAAGAGGGGTCTTCGAGGAATATTCGCATGATGCGACCATTTCCTTGGCCCAAATGCAATGGTTATGAATTAACTGGCCTACCGATTTGTTTGCCATCCAGACCACCCGAAGCCTAGAAATAAGAAACTCTGCCAATTAATCCTGCGAAATCCTTTTTCTGATCGAATATGTAAAAATCTCAATAATTGAATAATCTTGTTCTTTTTTAATGAGATATCAAACCTAATTCTAATCACAAGTGGACTCATATTCGATCACATCCTCTAATCACATCATAAAAGAATCCTCGGACCTATTACCTAGTATCGATCACATCCTCTAATCACAAGCGGACTCAATAATTGGAGATAATAGGTCTGAGGATTCTTTCAAACATCCTCTCGTTTTATCAGCATGAAAGAGATCGATCGTATCATATATCTTAATCAAACTGGCGAGAGAGAAATTACATAGCGATCGGATAGTCCATGGGACATGCAGGAGAGAGATAAGGACGCACTTTTGACGTTCCCTGCCATCAAAATGCCTTCAGATGCGTGTAAATGAGAATACGCCCCCATCCATAAACTGAGATTTTGAAAACTTACGGAGCGTAAGTCGGTTATTGAACAAAACAGAGCTAATACCAAAACATCTCTTCAACCGGCTCCAAGCATCAAGAAAGACGTTGCCGCCGGAGCAGAAGATAGTGGCTGGAGTAACATTACTATCCCGACAGTCGTTCAAAACAGAGAACAAAGAGTAGGAGAGAGGAGTAGAGTTCGGTGGGGTTAAAGAAGAGTTAAGGGAGATAGAGAATTTAATCAACCTATCCCCTACATCTCTGGGAACCATACGAATATTAGGGTTGTTAAGAAAACTCGCTCTCTCTCTTCTACCTCTTCGTCGACCCATCTCTGGGAACCATACGAATATTATGGCTGTTAAGAAAACTCGCTCTCTCTCTTCTACCTCTTCGTCGACACCCGTATTTCTTATAAGGTAGACGAGAATTGAGGGAAGGACACCACCGAGAAATAAGGCAAGATTCGACATCGCGTAGTTCATCAACCGATGGGAAGGCCATAGGGAGAGTAACATAGTTGTACCATCCTTTCTTCCTAAACCATTGTCTAAGGCGATGGTTACCTTTGTCCGAACAATTTTCAGAAAATTAAGCATGCTCGCGTCATCGAACAGATAGACCACGGTGGCGTCGGTGGGTAGAGCCAATATAACTGACGCGAAAGGAGGGAGACAACAACACATAGACGCAATGTCCTATTGGCTGGAAAAGATCGAAGCCAGAAGAGAACATATGCAACCATATTCCTAATAATTTATTGGCCCAGGTTATGCAACCCGAGAATGTTATCAGCAAAACCAGAAACCTAGACCATGCTTCTCTATTGTCCCAATTTTCACGTCTCCTAGGCACGTTAGCACGAAGCGACTACGTTCGCCTCAAAAAATCCCAAACAAAGGCATGATGAATAGATCATTAAGACGGTCCTCCTCTTGAGCTTCCGACGCGATGTTATCCAAACCTTCCTCCTTAGAATCATCTTTATAGGCGTTCTTAGCTCTGATCTCCACCAAATTTGTTGGTGCTTGTTTTTTTGTTATAACTTATAATACTCGATTTTATCCGCCTTGCAAAGAGATTCCAGTTGATACTTGGTCTTGAAGAGAAGTTCTCTCTTAAGGTCTTCAACGTGTTTAATTCTATCATCCTTCCCTGTTGAAGCGACTGTCGTCTTCTTCCCTGCATTAACCCGATCGAAACCCAAAGGTTCTTTCTGCCAACTGTATTCCTAACCATCAACGAAAACATATCTGTCAATCGTGGTTAGAAACAATTTACTCCTAGAAACTTATTTTCATCACCCCGACCTTGAGAGGAACTTAGATCCACTGGTACAAACATTTTTTTTCTCGTATATGGAGGGGGAGGAGGAGGACGAGGAGGGGGAGGCGGGGGATTCAGGGAAGGAGAGGGAGGGGGAGCAGGAGCTTCATAAGGAGGGGCGGTAGCACAAGGAGGAGAAGAATTTGACGGATGTCGATAGACAGGAGGGACACCTTGAGGAAGAACGCCGGCTGGTTGTGGCACAAAGGAACCCAACTTCTCCACCAACTGCATCATATATCTGATAGGACCGAACTAAGTATCCTGGGCGTTGGACGTTGTCAATCTCCATAAGAAGCAGACCCGCATCCAAAGAGGACAACAATGGTCCCTCTTGTGAGCAGGTTCCCCCGTACGGAGTTGGGTAGCACCCCGTGTGTGTACGTATTTTGGCATACCCGTACATGCCAAAAACCGGGCATACGTATACGTTAAAAAAAAAAAAGGAAAAAAATTCAAAAAATATACGTTGTGAAGTTTGCACAGGAGGCATCCCCGAATTTTCAACCAAGCTTGATTTAAAAATCAAAAACCTTAAAGAAAACTTAAAAACAATATTTTTTTTAAAAAATACTTTTACATAAAATTTTAATTATTACGATAATATTACCTTTTTTTCAGTTTTTAATTTTTTATTCGAGTTTGGTTTAGAATTCGGTTACGACTCCCAGGAAAAGTTGTTTGTATCATAATTCTGCATAACATATATTTGGGTGAACGCCCGAACCCGAACGCCCGAACGTGCTGGACCCCGAGGGGATACGTTCGGCCGCTCGGGCCAAACTTTGAAAAAAAAAAAAMACAAAAAATTRAAAAAATCCAAAAAAAATAAAAAAACAATGTTATGAAGAAAACTAAAATGAACAACATTTGTCTGAGCATTACATCCAAATTCTGTATCAACTGTGAAATAAAAATAAAATACGAAAAATAATTTTTGATAATAAAAATAAGAGAAAATAAACGAGAATTAAAATTTGTGAGTGTGCGAGCACGTTTTCGACACTGCCATCTTTGGCAATTTTGCTTTTTTTTTTTGGCATCGCCAAATGTCTTGAAAATTTACAGATGTGGACTTCACATCATATAAATCTTATTAACAAAGTTTCAAAAAATAAAAGTTGCTTTAAGCCCCGAAATAAATTGAAATCAAGAAGTAAAAAGTAAAAAAAGACAAAATAGTGAGTGGCCGAGCACGTTTCGACACCGCCATCTTTGGCGATTTTTTATTTTGTTTGGCTTAACAAAATGACTTCAAAATTTATAGGCATTTACCTCACATCATAAAGAACTCACCAAAAAAATAATTAAAAAAAAAAATTTATTTTTAAAACTCAAAATAATTTTTGGTGGGGTCGAACGCCTTCGGGTTCGGACAGCGAACGAAACCCCGAACGCCCATACGTACGAAGGTCGGCCCGGGGACCTCCGGACGTACAGGCTGGTGACCCTGTTTGTAACAAAATTTGTTTTTCATTTTTTCTATTTTTTCCTTGTTTTTGTTTGGGAGAAACTGTACAGGAGTCACAAGAACAGTTTGAAATTACACTTCGGGTCAAAACGAGTTTTAAATTGCACTCCGGCCAATGTACCTTACTCGAAAGTTGGCTTGCATACATTGCTCAGATTGCAATTCTAAACTTGTTTTGGGCTTAAGTGTAATTTCAAACTGTTTTTTTAGTAGTTACTTTTTTTTATCAATTCAATTTATTTGTTTTTT